CCTTCTGTCACTTCTTCGCAGCACAGAGAGCTGACGTGAGCAGACCTGTCTCCACTGAACTGGCTGCCACATCTGCAGTCAGTGCTGAGTCAGCACTTACGGCTCTCCAGGCGCCCCGGCAGCAGTTGGACTATTTCCATGCCAAGTTACTGCCCTCCGTAAATTAAGCTGTCCCTGGCGGGATGTTTTCCGTGGGAGAGCTTTCCGTTCTCAGAGGAAAGCGCTTTAACATTGAGAGGGCAGTGAAATTCATGTCGGTTTTCCAGCCGGTGGAGATTTGTGTGGCACTCCCGAGCACACTGCAGCAGCTTGGGAGCTGCTCCGTGAGCTTTCAGCTGCTGCAGCTCCCGGGGAGGATTTCACTCCATGAGGACCAGGCAACGGGGAGACACCTCCCAACTCTGAGTGTCCCCCAAACAGGCAAATCCAGCAGGGGTTCAGGTGAGCTTCAGATGTGCTCCTCCTCCGTGCAGAGCTGAATCGAACCCGCTCGGTCACTCCTTGCCCTCCGAGTCGCACGTCTCCGTCATGAAGCAGCAAGAAGGAGAAAATACCGTTGTTTTTTTTTTTGTTTTCCCCTTGTCTTTTTTTCTTTTTAAATGACTACCACAAAAGCTAGCTGAAGAGCTTAGGAGCAGCTGCACTATCATAAATTATTTTTACCTCATTAAAAAAGTTTATCCTTTTCGAATGAGAGCGGCAGAATGGAGATTAGAGGTTCCAGTGCTTTGCCGGGTGCTACTTAGTACCTGTGGACCATTACATTGATAAAAATATGTACAGACTCACTTTCCAGGTTTAAAAGTGTTTTGTCCCTTTGTTTGCTTAGCTAAATAAAGAGGTTTTGTTTGACCTGTGATTCTGAACCCAGCTGGCTTTTTCATATACAGTGACTCACACGAAGCAGCCTGCGGAGCTGGTCTTGTTTCCACCATTAAGCTGCCGAATTCGGCAGAAGCCCCACAGAAAACCAAGCGGCGTGGGGGGCTTTCTGCCCGGCTCCCGACCCGGCCTCCCTCACCAGAGCCGTGCTCTTCTTTCTGTAATTGCTCCCACCAAAGGGAGGGAGCTAATCACCGAGAGAGGCACTTCACGCGAGCCAGATTGCTGGGACCTGGCCTTTCAAGGTACTGCAAGTCCCGTAAGATATTCAAGGTTAGTAACAAACCATTAGTTTCTCATGAAAATTGGAGCTGAGGCTGAGGACTTCCTGCCTCGAAATGGTAATTTTTTTTGATGACATGCTGTCATCACCTTGGCTGATGTGCAATAGGGCTTCACTGGTTTTAGTGGAAGCAGGCTGGGAGCTCTTTAGACCAAGACCGACGTTATTTTATCTACTTCAGAACAAGCCGAAGAATTTTTACGGGTGGTGAAGCAGGAAATCTCATTTCCATTTTCAGTAAAGGCTACATATAGTATATCACCACCAGACATTGGGCCTGATCCTTGCACCTGACACGGTGTGTGTTTTTTCCCCTCACAGACTGCACCATTGACGTGAGAACGTAAAAACCACTGAGTGGGGACAGGGGAAGGTCCGTGCTCACCAGCGGTCACGGCAGCTTCTGCTGCAGTTCTGCAGGCACAGCTGCCCCTTGGATTTTGGAAGTACAGGAGCAGGCTCAGCACATGGCTGCCCCCCCAGCTGGCTCCCCGCCGGGGCTGGGGGCGGGCACGGCGACGTGCTGCCCAGCGACTGGCAATGAGGGGCTCGAGGGAGTTCTGTCTTCCACAAATCCCTTCAGGACCAAGGTAGAAGTGCCATCATCTGGCAACAGGAGGAGTTCGTGAGTCCAGACACTGCAAATGTAACACCATTTTCTCCAATAAATGTCTGCTGTTTCGATAAAAAACTCAGCAAAGAAAACACAGGCATCACGCTACACACAGTTCCTTGACTTCCTCCATCAGGAACTGCAGCTCTTCTTTTTCTGAAGTGAGATGTCATTTGGGGAGACAGGAGATTACGTGGCCTGCTTTCTGTTCTTCTGCTCAGGTATCTCTGCAGATCAGGACTGGCTTTGAAAATGAAAGGCCATGTCTTACTGCAAGTGGGCTGGCATCCATACCACTCTCAGGGCTAACCAAACCCCATCAAAATATCCTCTCCTCTTATGCCTTAGTCTTTCACAGAAATTGTGAGTCAGCAAAAGCTTTCTGAATGTGCTATATAGAAAAAACACCCATGTTAGTATTGTCCCAACAAAATGAATGGCTAAGATCACTGTAACCCAAATTTGCTTCCTGGAAGAGGGGAAGAATGCTCAGGGAAATACCTTAAAATGTCACATTTTTAACAGGAGGGATCCAGCTTTATTTTGTAGATAAAGTAAATGATGGGGCAAAGTGCTAAACTGAAAATGTGGTCATATAGTAAAAAAATGAAACAAGGTAAATAACACGTTAGGCTAAACCCGGAAAAGTAAATCCTTTTCACTCCTGCATTAAGTGGTTTATGACTGAAACAGGATTCTATCCATCTAAGTTTTCTATATCTAACTGCAGGTTGTCACTGCTTAATGAATTTATGGTGAAAATCCCTGAGGCCCAGTTCGTGACAGAGTTAATGGAGGGAGGTGGCGTCAGGGCTGGTCTCTAGCAGATTCTGTCTCCCTAACTTCAGGGTCTAGAAGTACAAAGAAATTTCTCCCAGGGGCTTTAAGAGCCAATACTGGTCTTCAGAGCCTGCCCAGGGCTCCCAGGAACCTGCTCAGGTCCTACTCAGCATCTCACACCCAGATGCAGGTTCAGTGCTGGGGAGCGAGGACCTGCATCCTGCCATGGAGCACTGCCTGCAGGGAACACTCCGGAAGGGAACTGACAGCCACCCTGCCCTGCAGTTTTACTGCAGTCCACACAGGAGTGACAAAGATCTATGAGACTAAAGCCTAGCAGATGAAAAGTTTTCCAGTTTTACCAGAGATTTTTGCCAGGTTTCACCCGTCTGAGGCACTCGCTGGTCGTTTCTCCCAGCAGTTACTCCAGCGCGTGATGCAGCACCTTCGGCCAAGTCTATGCAGGTTACTAGAGCAGGGCCAGAATGCTCCAGCCACTTGTTTGGCCCTTGGCTTTGCTGGGGACAAAGAGCTTAGGCAAGTTCCATGCCACCCGCCCGTGGGGCTAGAGGGCAGGCCTTGCCCTCTTTTATTTACCAGCTTAGACATAGCGTATGAGATGAGGGCTTAAAAGGCGGGGAGGAGGGGAAATAAAGCTTTCTCACTAGCAGCTTGAGAGTTCTTAGTCCGAGCAGCGTCTTGACCTATCATAAGCTCTGGTTTAAATCCTATTTGTAACGTCACTGCAACAGTGCCCTGATGGACTGCGTGCCTGAGGGTATTCATCAATTACAGTGTCACATTTGTGATTTTCAGAATTGATAAAAATAACGGGGCCAGCAGAGTCTGGAATACAGGATTGTTCATTTGTTTGGGGTTTTTTTTTATGAAACATCTTTGTATTATCGGTGAAATGATACTGGTTTTCATAATACTTGCACTCACATGAATACAGCATTACTGATTCACAGCCTCGCTGAGGCTTGTTGGATCCTTGTGGTCCCAGCTGCTCCAGCAGGCGAATGCTTGATGCATTGCCCAGTCGTAAGCTGGGAAACACATGAGTCCAAACTTTTTATACGGTACTATGCACAGAGAAGTAATCTGTTTCAGCCCTTAAATACAAATCGAAATGACAGTGACGATCTATAACATAACCAGGATGTAAATGTAGCATAACTATAAAAAAATTGGCAGCAACGCTGCTTCTGAAATCTGCTGTGTGTGTTATTGCTTTAAACAAATCAGCCACCCGGGAATCTGAACCTGAGTGAAGGAGTGTTTCCAAACTCTGAACAACATTGACCTCTGATGGGCTCTTTGAAGCCACCAGGCTGTGGGATTATCAGAAAACTGTATACTGCTCCAAGACAGGCAGACAGCAAAGATGCACTTAAATGATTTTTCTACAGCACACAGTCCAAGAAAAGGAGGGGGAGAAACAATTCAGAACTGCGGATGATCAGGAAAGTCGATTTTTTGTGGCATTTTACAGGCTTTTAGGAAAGAAGACTGTGGCTTTTTTTCTTTTTCCCTTTTTTCCCCCTCCGGTGTTAGACTAAAAGGGGGAAAAAAGAGCCCAGCTTAAAGTCTGTTTTTTCCTCACAGTTTGATAACTTTTTAATGGAGTATTATCATAAAGGGCTAACATAACTTGAAGATGAAAGCCATGAGAAACCTGGCGAATGGCTGTAATTAGCAGCCTATTTGACTGGGCTTTTTGTTTCTTTGGTTGCTGGAGCACAAAAAGGAGTGTGTGCCCTTCCTTACTCTCTCTTTGCCAGACTAAAGAAGAGAACAAACAAACAAGCATGCAGGAAGGTGCCTTTCTTGGTGCAGTATTTCATCTCCATAGTGAATGATGATCTCTTTAGGCAGAATTGCGCGGGGAGCTTTCAAAAGTAAACAAAGGGACTTTGCTCAACTGGCAGATTTGCCAGCTCTCTCATTTCGAAGAGCATCTAAACACACAAAATCATATTACATCTTACATTTTTTTTATTTGTATACAAAATGTTGTAATTTATCAATATTGTGCAGCAAAGTATAGATACACACACACACACATACATACCCCCCCCCAACACGCACACGTACAAATACAACACAAACACCACTTTCTTTCTCTCTGCCCTTCGGAAAGGCAACACTGTTTTGGCAGGTCAGCAGCTAGAAATAAGGTGCTATGATTAAGCGGTACCGGAACGTCTTCACTTCACAAATGTGATGTGCAAATTTACATACAACCACATTTTTTTTTTCTTCACGGAACCCAAACCTCCACGCCCCGAACCACCCTCAGAGATACAAACACGTATAAAGTGCTAATACTTAAGCATGTCTCCAACGACCTCACGGCGTAGTCTGAAGTTTAGAACAGGCACTGTGATAGTTCGCTGGGCAGACTGTCACTCCGTGGGGTACGACAGAGAGAAAAGTCAGTCAGACGTCGCTGGGGGACCGGGAGCGAAAGGACACTTTAGCCTGAAAGCAGCCGCAGAAGAGCACCCACATGGACCTCTGGATTTCCTGGTTTCTGTAGGCGTAGATGATGGGATTGATCATGGAGTTGTAGGTAGCGGGGAGCAGCGTGGCGTACGTGTACACGGACGGGTAGTCGGGATCCCCCACTACACAGTAGATGGCAAAAGGCAGCCAGCTGGCCCCGAAAGTCCCGAGGATTATAGCAAGGGTGGAGACCCCCTTTTTGGTGGCAACGTAGTGTGAAGCAGTCAGAAAGTGCTGCTGGAGAGCTATCTGGTGGGCATGCCTGCAAACGATCTTGCAGATCTCGATGTAGAGATGGAGCATGACGAGGAAAACGAGGAAGAAAGAGGCGGACAGCAGCGTCACGTTGCTCTTGGTCAAGGGCCGGACAACGCTGCAGGCGGCCCGGTCGCGGAGGCAGTTCCAGCCCAGGACGGGCAGCAGCCCCAGGCAGACGGAGCCGCCCCAGGCGCCCGCCAGCATGGTGTGGACGCAGGCCACCGCCGTAGTAGGTGAGGGCGTTGTAGAGGGAGAGGTAGCGGTCGACGGTGATGGCCAGCAGGCTACTCACGGAGGCGGCGAAGGAGGCGACGAGGAAGCCCACCGTCAGCAGGCTGACCGTCTCGGAGCGGATCACGTACTGGAAAACGAAGTTGAGGATGAGGCCGAGGCCGGCCAGGAGGTCAGCCGTGGCCAGGCTGCCCACCAGCGCGAACATGGGGGTGCGCAGGGCGGGCGAGTAGCAGATGATGGCCACCACCAGGGCGTTCTCGCAGGCGATGGCGGTGCCGGAGACGCACAGCATCACGTCCCAGGGGTTGAGGGTGGCGGGCGCC